TCTTCCGACAGGCTCAGAATCTAAATCAGAGTCCAGTGGTGACGCTGAAGGAACCCTGGAATCAGTGAAAGCCTCTTCCACAGCCTCTACTACATCAGAAGACGTATGTAACTCAGTTCCTCCCTCTGGAGTGGCCTATTTTAAAGCCTCTTTTCTTTTTAAATATTTTTTGGGGCTTTTATTGCCTTTTTAATTGATAGTGAGAGCTGAACAGTGACAGGAAAGAGGGGTAGAGAGAGAGAGCAAGCAAAAGGGCCACAGGTCGGAGTGGAACACATGGCCGCTGCAGCAAGGACCCAGCAACAGGCGAGCCATCCGGATGCCCCAAGAAGCCTCTTTTCAAGAACCTCTGTACAATAAAACCATCTCAATATTTTCTTTCCTCAGAGAGAGAAAAAAAAGTAATATGTGAGATGTTCTTGAGTAAAGCGTTATTGTCGTGTGTATTTTACAGCCGTTGTTTGTTCACTTGCTATGAACAGAGTGGTCAGGGTCCTATCTTGACCAAAAATGGCAAAAACCCTGTGATGGAGCTGAATGAGAAGCGTCGCAGCCTGAAGTACGAGCTGTCTGCAGAGACGGGGGGCTCGCATGAAAAGTGCTTTGTCATGGAGGTGAGTCGGCAGTATCATAGGCAGCAAACAAAACTAAAGGGATAATCAGAAGATTCTTGTTGTTTTTTGTTCATCCTTTGCTTTTCAAGTGCAAAAAGAGCACTACTGCACTTCTTGAGTCTGTCCTGCATTACAGCATTGATGTTGGATGTGCAAATTGTCGGCTCTTAGTTGTTGAATCAAATAAAAGTAAACACTGTGATACACAGTAATGCATGTCCGTTTTTAAAAAGTTAATTTTTTTTTTTCTGTCTATCAGGTGGCTGTTGATGGACAGAAGTTCAAAGGCAGAGGTTCTAATAAGAAAGAAGCAAAAGCCTTCGCTGCCCTCGCTGCTCTGGAGAAGCTGTTCCCAGATGACAGCGGAGTGACAAACACCAACAGAAATCCTCCAAAAAAGAAGATCACGTACACAGACATGGTAATTTATGTACTTAATGATTGGATCTAAAATGTATGTAGTTAAGAAGTATGGGCTCAAGGCCTCAAACCAGTCTGTGTACATTTCCATTAGAGTGCACACTGAATACACCCATTTGGTAATTGAGACAAATGTTGGTGCAGCTTTTAAATGTATTAATGTTGAAGAAAACATTCAGTCCTTTAGTTAAGTATTACATTTGTCATACCCCACAATTTATTTGCACATTTAGACAAAAAGAAGCAGTTCCCACAACAGCCACTGCATGCACATCTCCATATAAGCATACTCTGTCACCTAAAAGATTTTCCTCTTTACATAAAATCTTTTGCCATGTCCTGTTCACAACAGCACATCCCAGGCTTCGGCACTATCCGTGGCATTCCTTCAGACTCCGGCTCTCGTGGCTGGGGTCCCAACAGAGGTCGAGGAAGGGGTCGGGGCAAACCGTTTCCTCCAGGACCCAGTTACAATAAGAGTAAGGAATTTTACACTCATTAGTTGTTGGCTTGGACTTCATACGCCTGCCAGGAAATCAACTAAATAGTTATTTCTTTCCTTCAATCTGAAAGCCAACTACAGTTATGAGAGCAGCACTGGCACAGGCTATCGTAAGTATTCACTCTGTGCTGTGGTGTTTTGTTTTTGTTTTGCCACTGAGTAGCACAAAATAGGAATGATTGTTCTACAAGTTCCAATGGATTATACTTTGAAAAAAACAACAAGTCATAAAGCAGATTTACTTATTTTACAAAATACATCCTTAAAAAAATATTATGTTGTGCATATCTTGTCTGTTTCAAGTTATAGAGCTTTTAATTCCCGCCCACACCGGAGGGGAAGACAACCCATCGCTCTCCATTGACTTGTACTGCATAAAGGGGCCTCCTTGTCACTCTCCGTTAGCTAGCCACAGGCATTTTGTTAGCACTTCAGCTCCTGGTTGCATCTTGTGCCACCGATTGTTTTCCCCTCCCGTAGCCGTCCACGTTCATTTTAGTTTGTACCAAGCATGTCTTGTTCTGTTTTTGGTTGTTGTTTTGTTTTCATCTTTGAATGAAAATTAGACACTGTTATAAACAAATCACAGTGAGACTGATCTTTAAACTGTCTTTTAGATAAACTGTATGGTAATAACGCAGCCAGCACCACAGCCAAAGGCGCTGGCCCCACTGCATCGGCCAGCAACATCGGCTATGGCACCTTTTACCCGGAGGGCAGCACCTACTCCTCTCCGCCCATCTCCAACTCCGACTCCAGCACCACAAAGGGAGAAAGCTACCAGACAATGCCTCCTCCCGCCGACCAGGAGAGCCCTTACAGCTACGGGTATGGAGATGAGAAGAAGAAGATGCTGACCCAAAGTCAGAATGAGGGCCAGGGAGGAGACTACTCTATGTACAGCACAGCTTACCCTAGCTCGGTGACAGGTGGCCAAGTGTATAATAATTATGGTGAGTAAGTTGAAATCCACCCCTGCAATCAATAGCAATAAAGACATCCCATTTCTTACTACTTGTTTGTTTTTTTTAATATTGCTATATAGATGATATTTTGCTGCATCTATACTAAGAGAAAACAGATCAGATAAAAATAAACACATTCTGGTTTGATCTCACTTTACAGGATGGGGAAACCAGTCGTCCTGGGGGAATGAGCAGGGGTATGGCATGTACCAGGGCTTCGGGGGACAAAACCAGGGATCATACTCTGGATACAATGACATGAATTATTAATCATCACATTGTGTACAGCCTTTCTCACCTCACAATGCCATCTCTTGACTCTGACTCTGTCCGCCCTCGACAATGATCCTGGGATACCACTTCTGAAAAGAGGAAAAAAGTGCTTGTGTTGTCTCTGAAATTAGAAGGTTGCTGTTTTATTTGTTTTGTTTTCACCTCACTTGGACATCTGGTAAAAACAATTGTAGGTGACAGATGAAGGCTTATCTTGTGACTAAAGTCTACCTGTTTCTTTTAACTGCAGCATCCCTCATCGTGTCCGTGTTGACATGAGTGTAAAAAATCATACCTGGTTTATGATTGTCTTGTTTCTAGGGTTGCGATTTTTAAAACTAGTGTACTGGTTCTGTATCAGTATGTTATGGTTTTCATTTAAAGCTGATATTCGTTTTGAACTGAAGATTTATTTGTTTGTGTCACATAAAATGCTCTAATCGTTCTTGTAAAATAAATTACTTTTATTTTACTATGTTTTTGACCATTAGTTTGCAAATTCACAGAAGTATACATTTGATTGAGATTGTAGAACTTACCTTTTCATTCACTGTGGTGGATTAAGCTCTGATGTTGAATGTGACAGTCATGGTCAGAGTTTGGCTACCAATTGTTCATGAATTATGTCTTTAAAGCTGTTAAGCTTGAGCTTCCCTTAAAAATACCAAAGATATTTCTTACATCAGTGTTACAGGGAATGTTTTTCTGCAGTGCATGCAGATGCCTTACTGGTTTATATGTACAGCTATGTGGATGAAAAGGTGAACCCTCATTGACCCCTGTGAGGAAATTGGGTCACTGAAGTTGCAAAGGTACTCTGGTTTCCTAGGAAAAATTAACAAGAGCCTCAATGACACAAATAAAATGTAAAATGGGCAACTTGTTCTACACCTACCATCTGTAGTAGGTGTAGAACAAGTTCTAATTAAAATGGTAATGCAGCAGCAGTTTTATGTAAATGCATACTGGCACTCTTCAGCAGTAAGTGATCTCATAGTCTGCTTTGTATTTCTAACAGTGAAGTGAATTCATCTCCAACCAAGATGGTTTTTACACAACCATCTTGGTTGTTTTGGGAAATTAAGGTTAGCAGTAAGGTTGCACTTTCCTCTACAGTTTCCAGTTTCTCTACAAAAATCAGTAGAGAAAGTTGAACAGTATAAGAAATAATGTGTAGAGTTTGAACACTGCTGTCATTTGCATCTCACATGCTAGTTGCTCTTCATCTGACCATGTAAGCATTTAGGACTTCTACTGATTTACAGCCACAAAATGTAAATTATAGCACACTGGCAATGATATTTCAACAGATACTCACATGTTTGCATCAAAGTGAGAAGAGGGCTATTTTCAGTTAAAGTGACAGAAGAAGTGTGAAAATAGAGAAAAGGAGGGTAGGTTTTTGTCCTTCAACATTTATTGTGCTTTATGTTAACCAGTGAACCACTGAAATAAACTCAGAGGGCTACATTTCGTATTCACAAATTATCCAAAAAGATATAACAACAGAGATGGAAAAATGATGAAGGGAAACCGTGATTAACACTAAAGTGGAAAAAGTGTAGTCTGGACACCAGCTATAATAACCATTGCAGATCACATGTGGCTGCAGTCCCAAGACTGAGTCAGGGTGTGAGCAATGATCATGCCCCTGCGGCGTGTCCCGGGGCTGGTCCTCCTGCAGTCTCTCCTCCGGGAATGCTGATAAAAGGCGGACAGGAGGAGCACTGCGAGGACAGAGAGTGTCCCGTCAGGTCATCCTGAGCACACCTCACAAGTTATCAGCTGTGAGTGTTTTTTTTTTTTATCTTTGAGCTCTGCATGCTGACATTTACTCTTGACAAGATGTTTATTATCTGCATGCTGACACTTACTCTTGACAAGATGTTTTTCTTGTCAGCCAGCTTTGTTTTCTTTTTGATGGCAGAGGACTGAGCCATTAGATACTGCTTAACTTTAGTGGTGTGTCTGCTGAGGCTGATGAAGGTCATTTGATGTGTGTGTTTCTTGAATAGCAGTTTCTCATTTGAAAGAAGCAGAAATGCAGCGATATGCTTTGACAGACATGAAATTGTGACTTCTGACCCTTTCAGTCTCATAGACATGGCTGCTTTGATTAGCTTCTATCAGCTCCAGCTGGAACATGTCACCTTCAGGCTGCAGCCAATCACAAGTCACCTTTAGGTATAAAGCAAGAGACCATGTTGTTTGGTGAGATAGGAGGGAGAGAGGAAGCATAGGCTTGTATGGTAAGCGGCAGTTGCGGTTTGTGTCACGTGCTGCTTCTGGTGTCTTTGCTCAGGCGTATGTTGACTCTTACTTTCAGTTATGGCTCTTGTTCTCCTTTTTTGCTGTTCTACTGTTAACTGAAGATCTGATTGTTTTTGTATTTCTCTAAAGATGGTACTTACAATAGTATCCATCTTAATTGCTGCCATCCCTGTGGCCTACTGCTATCCTACTGCCTTCCAAGACCTGGAGGAAATTGGCAGTAAGTATCACTCAGACATGGGGTTTCAGGATCTCTCGTGAACGCCTTCTTTGTATCCGTGTAAGGCCTCGCCTCTCCAATGCTCAACTTCTAAGATTTTGCTCTATGTTGCTTTACAGCAAACAGAACCTCCATCAAGTTCCTGGCTGTAGGAGACTGGGGTGGAGTGCCTTATCCCCCCTACATCACCGCCGTGCAGAAGGCTACAGCTCGAGAAATGAGCAAAGTAGCAGAGCAGATGGGAGCTGACTTTATTCTGGCCCTTGGCGATAACTTCTACTACAAAGGTGTGGACAGTGTGGATTCCCCTCGGTTTGAGGTCAGTTGAGTGAACTTTATGTATTCTGAAATGACTTTAAGGGGGGAAAAATGCTGATGTTTTTTTTTTGGTTTTTTTAAATCAGGACACCTTTGAGTCTGTGTACACTGCGAAGTCTCTCAAAGTCCCCTGGTACGTGCTTGCTGGCAATCATGACCATGCAGGGAACGTCAAAGCCCAGATCGAGTACAGCCAAAAATCTGACCGATGGTAAGGAGCAACTGCTTTCCTAAAGCAGAGTCTGGCAAGTTCTGACATCCTTAAACTGAAACTCCTTTCTGACTCCATTCAAAGGCGATTCCCCTCTTACTATTATGAGCTAAACTTCCACATTCCCAACACGGGGAAGACGTTGACGATCATCATGCTCGACACCATAATGCTGTGCGGCAACTCTGACGACTACGTGGACGAGAAGCCCAGAGGCCCCCTGTGTGCGGTGGATGCCAACCGTCAGCTGACCTGGCTGCAGGAGAGACTGGCTCGCTCCAAGGCAGACTTCCTGTTGGTGGCCGGCCACTACCCTGTGTGGTCCGTGTCTGAACACGGGCCAACAGAGTGCCTTCTGAAAAGGCTTCATCCCCTGCTCATTAAATACCAGGCCACTGCTTATCTCTGCGGCCATGACCACAATCTGCAGGTAGGTTCATGCAAACTGTACCAAACACTTCTCAATCTGCAAAGCCGCTTTGCCTTCAGTTTCGTCTTTGTCCCCTACAGTACATTGAAGAGTCTGGTGTGGGCTACGTGGTGAGCGGTGCTGGAAACTTCCTGGATCCCGATGTCCGTCACTGGAACCATGTTCCCAAAGGTTCTGTGAAGTTCTTCACCGGCCAAGCTTCAACACTGGGAGGCTTCGTCCATGCGGAAGTCACAAAGGACAAGATGGTTGTGACCTTCTTCCAGGCTAAAGGCACTTCTCTCTATCGCACTGTCCTCTCCCAAAGGAACTTTGAGTAGACTAGCTAACCACTGGAGAGGTCAGCTTGTCAGTTACATACAGTATTAGTCTGCAGTGTAGAGATCAAAGTAATTGCTGTTAATCCTGTCTTTTTTTATTATTTTTTTAAATCTTGGCATTAATATTTCAAAGCACTTGAGGTATGTTTTTAAAAAAAAATCAACTAGTTTTACATGTAAATTCATTGTATGATAAGTGAATAAATGTAGTTTGTAAATTTGACTTGTGGTAGTTTGTAACAGACTTGTCTTACAAACTATTTTAAACTACTTACTGTGTGTGTGTGTGTGTCATCTGCAAACGCAGCTGAAACTAGACCTGCTTGGTGTGACTGAGGAAGCTGTTTCCTTATGGAAATAAGGAAATTTGATATGAGGCTTGCTTGGGGTGATATTTTATATTTATATTTTACCTAAATATAGTAATAACTTTAATTTTGCTCAATGTGTTCTAAGCACAGCCTTCATTTAACCATCTCATGAACCCCCTTGTAGCTGCTCTTAACACCTCTGTTTCAATGTGAATGCCCAGGTCTGACTTTAACATTCTAAAGATTATGAGCTGGTCTAGGTTTGCACTTCTCTGGTCCTGAGGCTGTGATTGAAATACTGCAACATGTACATGAATTTCTCTGCAGAAAACATTACAGGGCAAAAAAGCAAGAATACAAGATATTTATTTTGGCCTGGTTTGCTCTCGTGAGGAGTCTAGGTAAGAAAATACTGCGAGTTTGAAGTATGTCAGTATTGCAAATATGAGTGTACAAACACAGTGGCTCCTTTGTTTTGTTCTTGGTCAATCAGGTGACCGTTATATGCCATGAACGTCCAGCTATGCACATCTATGCCTTTAAAATTTCCAAGGCTTGTATAGCACCCGAAGCTTGGCTGCTAATTCTGTAGCTCTACAATTTGGAAAAATAATTGTTACTAAACTCCCTAACTGACAGAATTGCAAAGATTTCCAAATGAGGATTATGGTGCTGACTATGGCTTACACTTGACCTTAGATTAGTTAAATAGTCCAGCAGTAGCCCTTTTGCAGAATTACAGCTGTTTATGTATTTTGTGGCTTTATAATTTTCTTGATTTAGTGAAAACCATACTGCAGGGGTGAGAAAAGCATTATGGTATGTGTGTATAAGAGCTGTATTTTAGAATTCACTACAATGTACGCATTTTGATCACTATCATTTGCAATTTGCTAGTGTCTCAAGAACAGCCCTTAAATGTATGGGACATACAATAGTTTTATGCTTGTCAAGTTCTAGGCCCATGTGCGGAGTTCACATGCTGACGTGTTTGGCTGCTGCTGGAGAGGTCAAGACTGCCGCAGTCACAGCTTTTTTGTCCATCGCAGAGAACCACCTGGCCTGCCAACAGAGGATTAGGCTGAATGATGGCAGATTGGCAGTTGCAGCAAACAGGATAAACTCAGCCAACCAATGACAATTAACCTAGGAGCAAAGCAAGGACCCAGAACAGACGGGTCTCTATTTTTACTCTCTCCTCCTGCTGACATGCTGAGTTTTGTTTTGCTTTATTACTTCAATGATGTAAGCAGGTTTAATTCACCTCTTTATTCTGCATTGAGAAAATAAATATGTACAATTTATGCAAATTAACCCTGTATGTTGGTTAATAGGTTCACAAACCACCAAACAGGCCAGGGCATGCTTTAATGTCTTACTGTATTATGTGATAACAATCATGTCTGTGTATGTTGCTTGTCCTAACCCCTGTCGGGCTACTATAGGGTTACTGACTCTTAGTGTGTGTTGTCCTGATCCAATTAGGATGAGTTACAGTTTGCTGGTGTCATGCATCGTCACACAGAGCTGGACTGACAGAACTGAGTCAGTGCCAATAAGAAATGGGCCAAGAATAAGCTGTCACCTGAGGATAAAGGACAGGTAAGGACCACTTAACCCTGACTGACGTAAACTCGCTGCAAACCAAAATGAGCCTCACAGGGTTACAAATCGGGTCAGACAGATGGATGATTAGACACTATCTGACTTTACAGTAATTATTCTTGTATGTGTATCTTGGCAGGGAGGTACCCAGTAGTAAACAGTTCAAATGTATGATTAAAGCCGCTAAAATGTATATTTTGTTAATAAACATGAAATTATAGGGGGTCGCACTTTGTGATGTACCTACAGAGAACCCCCTGAATCTGCAGCTCCATCTGCTTTATAGTGACTTTCAGCTCATTGTTTACCCACTGTACACTTTGTTCACCACCTGCTCAGCACCAAACAGCAGACAGACACAGTGAGAGAGTAGCTGGTGAACATAGTGGAGCATTTAGCAGCTACAGAGACGGATATTTCCCTCATGAACTGGTAGACCAAAAACAGAGCACAATCATCCGCTGTCCAGACACATAACTTCAAAGAAATGATAATGTTGCGCCATAATTGCTGGGTGTGTAAATAAGCAGTTGTTTGGATACGAGCCCACCATTTTAACTTAGTAAGTCGTAACATATATCTGTTGTGTTCACAGTGTTCAAAGTTATTGCAGGTTTAAGTGTGAACTATTATCATAAAATAACTTCTAAAAGTCAGTAGCACAAGAACTCCAACAGAGCTCCAACAGGGCCAAATCACATTGTCTCACATCACATCGAAACACAAACAGGAAGAAAAACTGCACTGACAAAGACAAAGGTCACATGAAACTAACCAAGAGAAATATGCAGAACAAGGTATTGTGTGTATTTTACTGATACTGACACTGTTGACTAGCATGTAACCTAGTGGGAGCCATGTTCCTACTATAGCGTTTTTTCAGAAGTGGCCAAACAAAACTGTTTTTCCGCCTGTCTCCAAGTGTCCACAACTGCAGTGCAGTAATCCTGCACTCACATGTTCCACTTCAAAATCCAAACAACTGAAATGTTTCTTGCCGCCAGTGAGCACAAACTGAAGGATAATTTCACAATACCATAGGTAAGTATTGTGTCATCATTTTTAAAGACAGAACTTTTAATAACTTGCTAGGTTGCTTTTTAATAACCCAGAAAAAATAACTTTTAGACTTGAGGTCAGTTAGCACCGTGTGGGATCCTGCAACACAAATACCCAGGTGCCCTGATTGCTCACCTGGTAGAACTGCTGCCCCATGTACCAAGGCTGAGATGTACCAAGGCTGAGATGTACCTGTGGCACTTTGCTGCGTGTCATCCCCCTTCTCTCTCTCCCCTTCAAATAACTTAACAGCTACCTCTGTCGATAAAAGGCAATAAAAGCCCCCAAATACCCAGTGTCAGAAGCTACCCTCGAAATTATTATTATTATTATTACCCATGGTTAAAGCAATATGTTTACGCTGGTCCATCATCTTCTCACAATCTAATCTTCTTCAAGTCTTACTTGGCTTCACCTTTCACCTCTCACCAGTTGGAGAGCTCCTGTGCCACCAGTGCACTCCCCATAGTGTCAGCGCAGAGTTTAGAGCGCTAAGATCTCCTGCCTGGGGAAATAGGATTAGCAAACCTTCTATCTTTCCTCAAGCCAGGACTGAAAAAGCCATTTCAAAAAAAGTTACATTCAAGCTGTAATTTGTTGATTTCCTTAAATAAAGGTGCATGTGTTTATTTATTTCAAAGACATGTTTTATCAGAGAACTAAACAAGTACCTAAATGAGAACTAATGGGTAGTAGAATTAGAAAATGGGATATTAAATAAGGAAAGAGAGAGGAGGTGAAGGGGTGAGAAAAATGTGTTAAAACCCCTGACTTGGCTTTCAGCAATCAAATTTAAAATTAGAGGAGAAAACATCCTTGGGTATTGTTTAGTGAGGAGTGTGTGGGTGAGGCTTGATCAGACTGGACTGAAAGTTGTCTGGCAACATGAGCGGACATGCCCACAATCAGATTCTGATTCAAATAAGTTAAATCCGACTTTTAACCAGGAAGTAGAAATACAGAAATCTGAAAAATTTAAAAAAAATGTTGTGTTCATGTAAGGTTACATCGCTCATATAAAGAAGCTGATGAATAAGAAAATACATTTTCAGGGCTTTTAAAGTTGATTTTGTTTTTAAAGGAAGCAAAAGTTCATAAGTAGATGTATTGGAATAAAAAAAAAATAAAAAGACATGAAATGGCAAAATAAAATTACATAAAAAATGCTGAGAGCTAACAATATAATTTTAGGCATGTTCATGAATTGTTACATAGCCTGTACACTACAGTTAAACATCAAGACATGGTAGCTCACCTGGTAGAGCACCGTCTGTTATTACTCTCCTCCACCTGCTCCTTCTGTCTGTTTACACTCCATCACTCCTTTCACCCCACAACTTACTTTGAAGTACATCTACAACACTCATCCCTCTTGAGACTCTATTGTTGGCTGTCTCTGCACACCCCAATCTGATCCAATGAATTCTGTCTCACAACCAGAATAACAATATAGGTTTCTGAAGTTTGTCCACTAAGATTGGGCTTCTGCTGTCCGATTATCTAATTCCACGGCTCAAAAGTAATAAAAGGATGCTGTATTAAAGGCTAAGCTGCTCATCTAATCTTCTCTCCCTAATCTCCATCCCGGACTGGATACAGGCACTCTGGGTTTCAGATAGAATGAGCAATGTTAGTTCCCCCAAATTATTTAATACAAAAAAGACAATGTTAATACTCTGATGTTTGTCCAGAGAGAGCCAGTATAGGTGGAATAATCTCCTTTTTAATTGTGGATGCAGGCAGAGAAAAAAATCTGAAATTAATAAAAGTGCTGATACTGTGCAAATGTGTGTGTGTGTGTGTGTGTGATGCCACAGCCTTCATGTGCTTTTAATATCCCAGGATTTCTGCATCTCAGCCAATATCCCGCTTAAAATGGACCCTGAAATCTGTCTTTCTGAGTTGCGTAACAGTGTCGATGATTTTTGGTGCCAACAAGCAAAAGTAGGGAGAGCTGCAGTTAGATCCTAAACACATTTTAAGAGTGTAACACACATGACTCATATATTAAGGCCATGCAAATACCCAGATTCTTAAAGAATAGGATTTTATTGCTGGATTTATTGTAGTTATTATTACTTTACTGAAATAGTAAGTGGAGATTATTTCTTTATTTCCTTTCATTTTACTGTGCTTGTCCTTAGAGGGCATCACATGGTCATCTCAAAGCGGTCACCTCCACTAATTGAATTAACTTCACTCTAGCAACTTAGGGCCAATCCTGCTCAGCACCAGAAATATATTTAGGATCAGAAGATTGAGACACAAGTGTTAGCAAACTTATCTTAGCATAGGATCCACCTTTATTTGACACAAGAACTCAACACGGACACTTGACTCTCCTGTAACGTACACACTGCTCTCTGCGTCATTTATACTGTATGATATGCTGTATAATACAATGTAGAGTCACTCAGTGAAACAGTTTTTTAAGTCTTTGACTGGATCTGTCGTTCACTGGAGTTAAAGACCTACCCCCCCTGTTCATGGCCAAAACATGAACTAAGCATTAGCATAAGTTAGTCGAAGCAGGTTAAGATCCTACATAAAAACAAATGTAACAGCATGGACGGATAACAGATTCTGGCAGGAGAAGGTGAACATTCGTGATGCTAAATTGGCACAAATCCACATGGAAAATTAATAAGTGAAGGCCATCCCACTGACAGTCCCAGGCTCTGATCCTGAGAAAATTAGCTGTTTTGTTTCTTTCTTGGTCAAGTATCAGTAACTCTGACAAAAGTAAATCCATACTTTCACAATGGCCTTGATCACTGCTTATGTATGATTCCAGTCAGATGTGGAAAATATCAGAAGTCTTAATGCATAGTTTGCTGGATTTGTGACTCTTCCCAGAAATTGTTCAACTTTTCCCAAAGTAGATTGGGGTAAAATGTGCTTCAGAGGTGAAAACAAGGAGCCAAAGAAGCTCAACTAAATAGGAAAACCAAAGCGATGGGGCATAAGAGTGTTAAAAGGAGATGCACCACGTGAAAACGGTCTCGGATCCTTTTATGCTGCCTCATGCTTCACTGTCCTTTGGGAGTGGAAGGTTGTAGGACGGGCTGTTGACGTTAAGGGAGGTGGGGAAAAATGAAGGGATGTATGGGATGACGGTCATCAGAGGGCTGGTCAGCTCGGTCTCATGCAGGGGACTCATCGGAATGATGACATCGTCCTGGTCCCACACGTGGAAGGCATTTGGGTGGGAGTGGCTAAGGGCAGGTGGCATGTGCAGAGGGCTGACTCCTTCCCCCTCGCCGCCTTTTGTCATGTCCTCATCGGGTGGGCCCAGCAAACAGTCTGTGGATGGATAAAAGACTAGAGTTTGCTTCAGTTTTTCATTTAAGTTAAGCTTGTGGCTGTTTTAGAAAAAAACACTCACAAGTTTGCTTCATCGTTGCTGCACTTTTGCTTGAGAAATGGAGAAAAGGAAAGCTACAAGGAGATATTTTGAATAAAGATGATACATTGTATCTTATTAAGGGTATGAACCCCAAAAATATCATATAGATTTGACACAATTAAAGAATTAAATAATAAAATAAAAAATTAAAGAGTGCCCCATATATTATAAGTGATTTACAGATTTTGGGGAGCATTGTGGGACACAAAACAAAGGCAAAAATAACCAGATGTGGTGACAAATACAGTACAGCACATTATTAGAGGATATCTGCCCACAGCACTGCTTGACAGACTTTCAGCAAACTGCAACACGCTTCATTTCTGAGTGCATAATCATACAATGTTTGAATAAAATATTGCTTTATTCATCAGATATGTAGAACCAAAAGCTTTGCTTTGTATGATACACTGCATTTGTAGTTGCAGACACAACATTTATCTAAGTTAGTTCAGTCAGTGCATGTCTTAAAGGTAGATGGTGGATGAAATCTTGTAACCATACACCACAGCTCAACAAGTTTATTTTGTGCCTCCTCTAGTTGAGGGCTAAATAAACAAATACTACATCATCAAATATGGTTAAATCAAATTGATTGCATAAGGCTCGACAGCACAAAGTGACAAGACTTATTCAGATGCCAAAGAGTTCTAAAATACAACTATGAACCCACTACCTGTAATAGACTTGAGTAGCTACCTGTTATATCCAGCATGAGGTCTTTGATGAGGTGACCCACGATGGCGTAAGCCACAGCAACAACGACCAGGGCGGCCATCACGAGGTAGAGAACTGATTTAGGGAGCTGGATGAGGTCCCTGGGAGGAGGCTTGTACTCCGTATAAATTGGCTCCACATTATGGACCAAGTACTGGAATGAAAGTCCGCCTTCGCCTGTGTAGTTAAAGCTGTCCATATTCCCAGAGTCTCCACTTCCTCCAGTAAGTGGTAGTTATTCCATTATATTCACAGGGAAAATGTTACCAGTTTGATTTATCCACTTGCTCAGGTGTCACTTCCTAAAATGCAGAGAGGCAATGTAAGTAAACACATTTATATCTTATTTATTTAACTTAAATACACGGCAGGTGGAAGAGTGTGACGTAAATATATTCAAAAAAGCTATATAAATGTAATCTTTTATTTACTTTTAAGATATAAAGAGCTACCTTTATGACACTTGATGAACATAAAAATAGGCCAGTGAATAAATTCACCCACCTGTCAGGCCCAAGTTTTTGCCACCTCCAGATTAAACACATTTGGGTCTTTGCAGCGCCGATTCACCAACATCTCTCTTAATGACTTTCATTAGTGTCACGTTCCTATCATCAGTTCATCCTCCACCAGACATCAGGACATTTCACACAGCCTCTGTGCCTCGCTGCTGTGTGCTGTGTCCTCTGTCCTGGGATAATCCAGACTGTGGGCGGTGACACAGAGACAGAGAGAGAGAGAGAGAGAGGAAGGGAGGGATTACACTTCCAATCACAGCAGATCAATCAACCCCTCTCATTCCATCACACTTAATCCACCACAAACAATCTGAGTGAGTGCTTTCTCCCCTGCAATGCTCACACACATTACACCCACACATACACATACATCAACTCAATCTTTGATGAGAAGTTCTTAGTTGTTTTAATGCAAATCCTCAAGACTTCCTGACCAGAAAGGCTAAAATTAAGTTCTGCCCCACTTCTGGATTTGTTTCTATTTTAATCTCAACAGTAATATAATTTGTCCAACTAGTCTTTAAAATAGTTGATACATGAGGGTTTTTTTCCATATTCTAAATTTAATGGGTGTTATATTGATTTAATTTCAGTGTTCTGCTATTTTGCACCTACCTGATCTAACCCAATGTTACCAAATTATATTTTAAAACACCTAAAATAACTCTTAACTCTTATTATGAGGACTGTTTACAGTGTGCTGTTTCTAACTTAATGTTCTCTATTTAAGCACTGAAAACCAGGTGAGAGCAGCTCATTTTATCCAGAGACTATATATAACTTACATATATTTTATACAGTTTATGATTTTAACAAAATAACGTTAAAACACAAAGAATATGAAACAAGTCGCGGGATTTCGTCTCGTTTTAACATATAGAGGAAACTCCGGACTAATTTAGCTATGTTAGCCAGATAAAGTACTTTAGCACTGAGCTAAGCTAACTTACGCTAGCTAGTAAGATAGCTGATGTATATGCATACAAACACAGCTAACGTGTAGTATATATTTCTGTAAGTGAAATTATAAGAATTTGTTTGTTACATACTGTATCTGGATATTTGTAATTAATATGTGGTTTACAAGAGTGAAGCTAACGTTATAGCTAATGCTATGTTGTACAGCCAAAAGGGATTAGCTAAAGCTAAAAGGTGTCTGTATCTAACTGAGGATTGAAACATCTCCTTTCGCTAAATTTATACAATTTAGAAGGAATTTTACATAATTTATGTATTTTAATTTTTTTTGTCTTTTTTCAGAATGGATTTTTTCTTTGAGGACCTACCATCCACCTCACAGTCCACTCCCAAGAGCAGACATGAAGATTCACAGATGGTAACATATGACACATCATATATTATCAACAATGGAGTAATATTATCATACGGAATAATATTAATATCCTCTGAGAACTTTGTATTAAATATTTTATTCAACCATAAATGTCATGTCATGATGAATAAATGGTCAAATATATTAAAACTCAACATATCTTGTTCCCATCCCCTCCCAGATGATAACTTATTTCCCCAAGTCAAGTC